CAAACAAATTCCTTTTGAATGAATTATATCTGTTCCAAAATTACAACATTCTAGCACAAATTTTGTATGAGATATTTAGAAAAAAAGTACATGTTTTTTTTTTATCACCCTGTATATACAAGGCCACTAATATGTGAGGCATCTTGGTGAAATCAGGCACTTGTCAAAATACTGAAATCGAAGAAAATGACATTTTTCTTCCAGTTGGGCCATTTTTATCTAATTTTTACTTTTGGTTCAAAACCTTTTATGTCTAAATAGAAATACATTGCCGCGTGGATTTTACTGAAAAACTATAGTTAAAGCACAAAAAATGTAGATTTACAGTTTCCAAGGGCTCTCAAGCTTTGGAAGTCACAAAACTTTGGTGGCCATATTTTCGCTAATTTTACCTCTGAAACCAGGTGACCGCCTCTTCCTTCAAGCTAAAATATCTCAACTCTTATTGAAGCTAGATCGGTAATTTTTAAATTGAAAGCAAGACAAAGGAACAAGCTTTAAGACAAACAATAACTCTATATGTAAAAAAATTGACTAGCGCCTGATTCCACAGGGTCATGACACATAACATTTACTTAATTTCTGGTTCTTCAGAGTCAAACTCACCGAACTATTTTCAGGTTAAAAATGTCACCCCCTCCTACATCGAACCTGATGGAGAGGCCAAAGTCTACTTAAACGGTTTTCAATGAACACTCAATCAGCTAAGCATAGTGTAAGTCGGAATTCAACCACAGCTACCTCGTAATCATACCACACTAAAAAACTTGCGCAATTTACCGTAACTAGGAAGGGTGGCTTATTGAGCAATCCGTTGCATAACAGGATAAAACCTGCACAATTTTGCATCCCCCATGATCTCTGCTTTCTCCCACTTCACCTACTATTGGATATGTTGTATAGGGTTGACCTTGAAGAATTGCTCTGAGACGAGAATCTTTTGATTACTCATAGACTGTTCACTTTCTTTGGTTCACATGCTGTATGGATAGTTTGTTGGTTCTCATATTGTGTGGATAGTTTTTTTGGTTCACGTGTTGTGTGGATAGTTTTTTTTGGTACTCCCCATGTGTAGATAGTTTGTTAACAGTTCCGATGCAATGCTATTGGAAGGCCTGAGTTTCCTGAGTTATTGTCATTAGTGTCTCCTTTCTATAGTCTGACTGTCCCAGATTTCATGTGCGCAATGATGCAGTCTGTTTTTGTGCTTCAGTTTCAACTGCCTTTGAAAAGTCCATCACGCTGTCCATCGGCGTGGGTGGTTGGCGCGTGCTCTGGTGTGGTTGCTCCTTTTTTCCTATCAAACATCTACAGTCCTTATATCTCCTCCTTCTATTTTGTGTTTGTTACTCTCTTATAATACCTCTAATATTTGGCACTTATGACCTTATTGTGTTGCAAGTGCCGTAAAACTCTTTCTTACGAAAACTAATAACTGTCCATCAGCATCTATTGTGTAGCAGTTAGGTGCCTCGCCATCACACGCAGGAGAGTTTGATTCTCGAGTGGGGAAAATTTTACTAAGTATTTCGGTCTTTCTTCCGGGATGTTGTGTATCCCACTCAGCTGGGGTTGACCTTAACAGGCAGGGTCATATCCCGCCTCCTAAATAGTCTAAATTGTATTGATGGGGCATAAAACACCTAGAGCACTGTCCACTTCATTCAGTTCAGTATATCGTCACAGTTGCAAGATGAGTATGAACGCATAGAGGATATAACTTTTTACATAAAAAATCGGGATGTCAAAGCCACTCTGTTTCTTAACCATGAAGTACAAAATTTAATCTCTAAGACTCCTGACAAAAAAACAGGTTAGTATAAAAACGTATTTGTTTTTATTCAAAGTGTGGTTATTAAAAAAAAAAAAGTCATTAACAAAGGTGATGGAGTCCTTTCTTGAACTTGATGTGTATTTAACAAACAAGAAAAAGAAATATACTTTTAACGATTTTATTATGTTCTCTGTCTTGTTCAAGGGCCAAGATGTATTCTCAGAATTCACTTATGTCAGTCTAAATTTTTTGTAAATCAGGGATGGGGATTCTCCGAAATTTTTTTTAACCTCAGAATTTTTAAAAAATTTTAAAAATTGCAGACGATAAATTCGAGAAAAAAAAATTGACGAATCTGGTCACAGCCTACCTATTCATGTCTTGTACTGTTGTTTTGTGGATTTGAACCATTTCTTAGTGTGGGAAAGTGGGTGTGGACAAACTATTGCTGCACTGCACTTGAAAGGGTTACATACTACCATTTCTCCTCCTGCTTGAACATGAGAACATGAACATACAGGGAAAAGAATTACTGCTTGACCATCGAACATTGATCTGACCTGTAGAAGCATTCATTATGTTAGTATTTAGATGAATTTAAGCTTCTGCATTTTTTTATTTTATCAATTATAATTATGTTTGTTACCTAGTGAAATAACACCTTATTCTAATTTTTTTTTAAATTCAAAACACTCTCAGAGACTACATTTTTAAATGTAAATTTCTTCCCGGCTTGCGCCCCCCTTACCCCGTGCTGCAGTCTCAGAATCTTCAGAAAAATTCTTTGGGTTAGTCCCCATCCCTGGTAAATGTTATCAACATGCATTGTTGATTTCTGTAATAATTGCTGTTTTTGTAATCAGTAGTGTCAAAAGGGGTTCGCAGGAAACTAATCATTTGGTGGAACAAGGAGTTCTTTTGCAGGGGTAAATGCAGGCGATGTTGTTATGTTAATGTTTCATCATTCAAAATTGTTCCAGCTTTTTCTGTTTCCACTTCCTGGTCTTGCTCGGAAAGGAAACTGTTTTAACAAGATAAAGAGTCAGTAGAACTGTTAATTTAAGTTTACGTACTTTTCTAGGTCTAGCTAACACCCTCACAAATTAAGATAAAGAACCCCCATGTATCTCAAGTGGAGAATATGCCATGAGTGTCATAAGTGCGGCTTGGACAAAATTAGGCACAGCTGTCGTCAGTGGTGGAAATTAGATTATTTTGTCCAAATGGAGGTAAAAGAAAGGAGTCGGCAAGAACCTGTAGTTCTCTTTTATAATCAATGATTCTCTTTGATCTAGTTTGTCATGTCATGGGTGGATTGTGGGTTCTCTTGTGTTTTGCTCCTTCTTTCATTTCAAACAACTATCATCCTTATCGCTCCTTCTCTTTTTCTTTGCAGGTTACTCTCACAAGTAACACTTGTAATGTTGGGCTTTTACATGACCTATTTGTGTTGCAAATGCCCTGAAACTCTTACTCAATCTAAATATAGATAACAATTTGAGTGACCTTCACTAGTGGCTGGCTGGACTTTTATCTTTTGATATATGTGTTTCCAGCACTGGAGACACAGTGTATGGGAATGGCACACACACACACTCATCTGGGCCCTGCGTGGGCCATTCCATGACAAGTGACGCACGTAACGTGTTGATAATGACCTACTTGAAAATAGTCTAAGCTATGATGGAGCCATTCTTTCTTCCTTTTTTTATGTTAGTTGAAACCGTTCTCAAACACACACACAACTAAAGAATGGCTCTAAAATTATTTAGGTTTTCTTTCAGCAGGTTATCATCTCTGCTTTGCGTTGCGTGCATCACTTTTCATGGAATGGCCTATTTCACTTGTAACTGGGCCACATCTGTTGTGCCATCTGTCACCACTGTCAGTGGAAAACATAAATATGTGGGGGGGGGGGGGGGGGGTATAAGGTTGGGAGTGGGGGAAACATATGGGAGAAGAGGGGATGGGGTGCAGAGCAAGTTCTGCTGTTTGTCTTTCTTTGTCTCTCTTTTTCATTCTCTCTCTCTCTCCCTCTCTCTCTCTCTCTCTCTCTCTCTCTCTCTCTCTCTCTCTCTCTCTCTCTCTCTCTCTCTCTCTCTCTCTCTCTCTCTCCCCCTCTCTCTCACTCTCTCTCTCACAGGCTCTCTCTCTCTCTCTCTCTCTCTCTCTCTCTCTCTCTCTCTCTCACACACACACACACACACACACACTCTCCCTCTCTCTCTCTGTCTCAGTGACTGCTCCAGCTGTAGTGTAACTACACACGTAAATGTAAATGAATGTAATTATTGATATTTCCTCTGGATTCAGGTGAATTTTGAAAGGAAGCAAAAACTAACAGAACAGTTTTCATTGTTTCTGCCCTTCAACAGGTTTCTATTTCACTCGTTTTAAATGTGATCCCATCTCATCGATGTGTGATTCCTGTTTTTGCGTTTAGGTGTAATGGTGTGTGGTTCCTGTTTGTGTGAGTGTGTGTGTGTGTGTGTGTGTGTGTGTGTGTGTGTGTGTGTGTGTGCAATTGTTTAGAAATGAGCGTGCTGGTGGTAATGTTGCTGTGAGTGCTTGTTATTCATGAAAGCTGTCTGTGAGTGAGTCAGAGTGGGTTTTTAGTTCATAATGTGGATGTTTTGGCAGGTGTGGTGGCTGGTGATACTGATACGTGCACCACTGGTCAATGCGTTCTGTTCAAATAATTCATGTGTTTTGTTCCCAGTGAAGTTATAGCTGTTGTCGTGTTTCCTTTTGATAAGCCGTCTCAAAGGTTCAACAGCGATGGGATTTTTCTTTTGCTCACCCAACTAACATACATTCTTGTTATTGCTCTATTTGTTGTGACTTTTTACTGATTAGAAGAAATGAAGTCCGTTCGTAACTGTGGTTCGTTGTTACCTCGGCGTTCAAGGGATGCAGCTGTTGGACTTGTGTTGTAGAAAAGTGCTTTTTGTAATCTTATGTGGGCTGTCTTTCCTCCTTCTTTTCTTTTATGTAACTCTCTAGTAACACGTCTAATCTTTGGCACTGGCATGACCTAATTGTGTTGCAAATGCCATAAAACTCTAACCAAAAGTAGAAAACAACAACCCAAGACTCCCATACACTAAATGGCCTTTATCGTCATATTGAAGTGCTTCAGTTTAAAATTGCTCTTGAAAATTAATGAACGTATGACCAAAGTTTTTATATATATATGTATAATATATATTATTATATATACTCACAGGTTGTCCCAGGTCTGTGTCTGCCCCCTCTGGCCCGATGTAGCCACCACCCAAGTGCGTTGTTGTGAGTGAGGCAGCGGCCAAAAACAGAGGACGCACCCATGTTTTATGTGCCGTCGTCTACGTCTCCTAGCCCAGTCATGGAGACAGCCAAACTGGTGCAGAAAAAACTGGGACAGGAGGAAGTGTGCCTCCAGGTAAGCTCATCCTGTGCTAAACATTTAGATTTTTTTACGTGCAATTTTGATTCCAGTTGGTCTGTCTTCCTTTTTCTGTTTACTGCGAGTGATTGGTGGACACTCTGGTGTGATTTGCTTTCTTTTAGGAGGCAGGCCTCTGACTCTGTGTGTTGGGGTCAATCCAGGCTGAGAAGGATACAACATCCTGGCGCAAAGACTGAGATCCTCAATAACAATTTCCTTCGCACTTTGGAATTGAACTTGTGTCTTTTGTGTGCTATAGCAAAGTCCCTAACCACTACTCCACAGACATGGGTTCTTCCTTTCCAAATACCTCATAACTTTTTTATTTTTTGAGTGAACTTTCTTGTGTGTAAAAATGTTTTTTAAAGTGAATATGCTCGTGTGTTTGTTTCTCCATGGTAGGTATTGACAGAATGATTGTCACATAGTTTTTATTTTTGAAAAAATTAAAATCCAAAGGATGTAATTACCTATTGATTGAAATGAATGTCGTATTCAACTTCCTGGTTTTAATGTATCTCGGGTACTTCTTTTTGAAGCAGTTTTAGACTTCTTGTTATCAGGCCAAAGGGCTAGAACTCAGATGGTCGCTGGATCGGAAAAGTAAAAATAAGACTTTTAGTTCACAGTGCAGACGTTTTCATGGGTATAATTGCTGCATCATATATAGCTCTCTCTCTCTCACAGCATTTGAGGAATAAAAAGTAGGAGGCAAACTTAAAGATTCATTTAAAAACGCACCTATCATCTTTATCTCCAATCTATCTTTTCTTTGTCACTCAAAGTAACACCTAATCTAAGGCACATATATACCACTGTCACTAAAAAGCTAATTATGTGTTGTTTACGTACGCATTAGACAGCTTCAAAGAGCTTTTCAGGCCAAGGCATCATCCTTGCCATATGAGACTCATAAAGGTCTTTTAGTTTTTCTGATTTCTGTGTCCTCAGTGCGTGGAGTGTTCTCGTATCGTGGAGGGAAAGCGGCTTGTTCGCTTTGCAGCCGTGGTGGAGAGAAAGGAGGAATATGGGTGAGATTCATGTTTTATTGTCAGTCATATTTTTGTTGTCTTGCCATTTATGTTTTCTTGCTTGTCATTTTGAGACAGTGACGTCACGCTACCCCCACATTTCTTTGCACTTATGTTCCCATCCCCCCTTCCCCAAACCGCCTAGATGTCTCCATGTGTATCTTGAAAAGTATGTGCCCGTCTGTTGGACCATATTTCATTGGTGTGTGTTTTAATTTGATGTTGGTGAAAATAGGTCAACTTCAATTTTTTTTTTTTTGCCTGCACTGTAAGTCCCCTATTATTATTATATTTTTTTAATTTTTACCTACTATAGGGCAACATCAATGGAAATGTGTTTGAACCTTAAAGTGTTTATACAGGTGTTTAAACCATACTTTTACTTACCACCTGTCTAAGACAACCACTCACTTTTCTCTTGGAGAGTGAGTGGCCGTCTTAGATCATTTCGACTATATTCATACCTTCTTCTTACTTTCTGAGATTTTTCATCAGTGTGAGTTGAGCATTCCCCACATGTTTTCCTCCACAGAATCTTCATCTTCATGTCCAGCAGGATCCCATGTTTGCAGTCGAGTGATCTGGAGCTGGAGACAGCCATTGCTGTAGACTCAAGTCTGCGCTGCCATGCAGGTCAGTGCTAAGGGTGTTTCCAAAACACCGATGTAGGGAAGTGGGTGGTTGGTGGGTGCTCTGGTGTCGTTTGCTCCTTCTTTCCTATCAAACTTCTATTGTCCTTACCTCTCCTACTTTTTGTGTTTGTTACTCTCTTGTAACACTTCTAATCTTTGGCACTTATGTGACCTAATTGTGTTGCAAGTGCTGTAAAACTCTTACCAAAACGAAACGGAGCAGGGAAAAGGATGGAACGTCCCTGATTTGAAATCATTTTCATTGACATTTGAGGTTGGCCTGTTGATACTTTTCGTCAAGAAAAGTTTTAATTGACATCACTATCTTTTCCCTCAGTTGCAGAGATATTAGAACCTGTATGGATGTTTGTGGCTCTGCGGCGGAATTAGATACTTGTCAAATTTTAAGGAACAGAGGAATCAGCATTTTTGTGGCTGTTGGGCCATTTTTATCGAAGGTTTTTATTTTTTAAATTTTTTTTTTTTGTATAGAAAACTTCCCCGTCCATTAAAGAACACTTTTTAGGGTGAATTTTATAGAAAAAAATGTTGGTAAAAACCAAAAACATGTCATTTTGTAGAATGAGTACAAGTATTCAGTTTTAATATTAAAAGTCTGTAAGCTTTGGTGGCCATTTCCTGGCTAATTTCACCTGTAACAGCTGGTAACCACGATCATGCAAGATAATCAATATTTTTTCTTACCAATGTAAAAAAAAAAGAAAAGTTGTAATTTGATAGCAGTAACCTCATATGTCCAAAAATTGATGAGCACCTGATTCCGCGACACATTTATTTGAGTGCATGTATTGTTGGTTTTTTTAAATCAGTTATTTTACACAGCATCCAAGTGTTTATTCGATAGTATATTTTTGTAAATGCTTAGCGCGATTTTTGTACTGTGTTCTATGAATAATTTCCTGTAACCGTGACATAGAGTTTGTTTTATCTAATCTTGCCTGGTTTCATCTTGTTTTATTATTTTTTAATGCCATGTGGAAAGATGTAGCACAGTGTTTGTCAACTAGTCTCCTCTTTTGACACCTTTAAAAGGCTAAAATTTTCATACCACCCATAAAATTTACATGTATTTCCAAGCGGGGCATTGAAGAACATATTGTAACTACCTGGATTTTCCCCCACTGCCCACCAAAATTACCGAATCAACTGCTAGTGGGAGATTTTGCCTTGGTTGGCAAGCACAGGTCTAGCTATTTCTGTCATCGTCTTTTGCATTTTTACTTAATTAAATTTGCATTTATTTGTTTCCTTGGACAGAGGCTCCTACCAGGCAGGACAAGCCACATCCAGGTAAAGAATACTTTGTTTGGTTTTCCAGAGTGTCGATCTTGAAAAGGACCACAAAGTGACTGAAACTGCTCACCGTCCTGTCTAGCTAAAATCGGAAGCTGTAAAGATTGAAAAAAAAAACCTGTGTCATGAAGGGGCCAAAGACATGTTTCTTATATCATCCTGGATTGTCCGTGTGTTGTGTGTCTGTTATAAAAGTTTTTCCACATTTATTGTAATCATACAATTAATCATGAGTGGTTGGAGGGTGTCACTGATAGGTCCTACTTCTTTCCTTTCCCTCTGTTGTCTCTGTTTGGCCATCTCATTTTCTCTCATCACTAAATGACTATTATTGTGCTGATGTACTTGTCTTTGCTTTTGCTTCTGTTTTTTCGAACTGTCTATCTAGCTTTTTCGTTACACAAAATGACCATTATCATATTAAGTAACATTTATGCTGTGCATTTTTTATTTTCATGAGAAAAAATGCTCAATGAACTTTACAGTCTAAGAGGTATGACTTTGTAAAATTGTTTAACAAGTGTATGTGTGTGTCACTGTGGGGAAATCAAGTGCTCGTCAAAGTAATGAAATAGAAGAAACTAACATTTTTCGGACTATTAGGCAATTTCTTTTTTTTTTTTGAGGGGGGGGGGCAGCATCTTTTATGCCCTTTGATAACACACTTCTGTGTAGATTTTAGAGAAACGTTGACGTAAGGCTTTAAAAAATGTAAATTTGCCATTTGTAAGGACACTGAAGCTTTGGAAATTACCCAACTTTGGTGGCCATTTTCTCGCTAATTTTGTCTCTGACACCAGGCGACCCCCCTCTCTTTCAATAGCAAATATCTCGACTTCTATTCAAGAAAGATGGGTAATTTATCCTCAAAAACGAGCAAGACAAATGAACAAGCTTTATGATGATACCATAAAGTGCCCAAAAATTGACAAATGCCTGGTCCCACCCTGCCGTGACACTACTGTAGGACATAATATCAATAATTGTGTTGATGTGCTTCTTGTTCCTCATACTATAAGCTTGTCATTGATTGTCACTGCGTTAGAAGTAAATCAACTGCTGTTTTTCCTTTTGCAGAGTTTGTTCTGCGGCTGCAGTCAGCAGACGTGAACTTGGTCTTGGAGATGCCTCAGGTGGAGAACACGCAGATGTTTTTGGCGGAAGTCAAGCGAGCACAGGATTGTGAGTACACTGATTGTAGTGTCACTTTTAGATTTTGTTTTATTTATGTGTGGTTTTTGTTTTAATTCTGTGTGGATTTTACCTGCCTTCTTCTTTTTCTTCTTGATTGTATCACACTTAAAGTCTGGTTTCTATCATATACTGGCCATCTTCCTCAGTTCTTCTGTTAGCCCATATAGCTTCTCCCGGCGTGTTAATGGGCTTTGACCAATGTTCTTATATTTCAAGTTTTTCTACTGCATAGCTTGGAGCTTGATGCAAGCGACCATATGGATTTTTGTTCTTACCTGATTAGAAAAATTGACACGACTGATGACTATCAAGGAAGTGTAAAGTAGGAGTGTTGAGGACATTTGGAGACAGCTTTTTTTTCGCTTTGTTAATGGGGTTGTTGTCTATTATAGCTCAATAAACAGTCACTTTGAGGATTGATCTTTACCTGCAATCAGAGGTCCATGGAAGATCTATTTAAGTTTTCCCTCATCAATTCTCATACTGTTTTATAGATGCCTTATTTGATGAATCAAATGTATGAGAATTCTCATGTAGGTCAGTTGCTCTGTACAGTTGTACAGTTCCTAAATTAATGATAAAAATGTTCATGCGTACTGGCCCATTCAAAGTACAACAATCCTTTCAAATTCGTTTATGCACGTAATTTGACAAAAGAACACATACACAAAAAGACATACTGTGGGTACTAATCACATTTTTGTTTGTGAAATTATTTGAGCATGCTTCTGTGGTAGCCTGTAGCTTGAACCCGCCGGCTCAGTGATTGAATTTTAGGTTTCCTTTTCTTTGAGCAGATTATCGGTTTTTGCTTTTTACCTTTTTAATTACTTCTCTGAGATGATTATGAATGACTATCAGTTTTGGTTATGGCTCCAACCAGAAGGATCTCTGTGTATTTGACATATGCAAATGTGATAAAGTTTTTGAATGGTTTTTCTCTAACACTTTTTCTCTGTTGAGTGTATTTGAGTGTGTGCATTGCCCATGATATGATGAACAACTTACTAATTTTTTCTAACAAAAATGCTGTTGTGAGTCTTTTGTCTAACACTTTTTCTCAGTTGAGGGTTTTTATGTCGTGCATTGCCCATTATGTGATTAACAACTTGCCTGTTTTTTCTAATAATTTTTGTGTGTGTGTCTTTGTGATTACGGTTATTTCATAAATTTATTTATCTTATTGCAGTGTGCACCATTGTTGTTGTAAAAAGAAAGAAGAAAGATTATCGTTTTCTAATAAAACATTTTGAACTGCTGATTTCAGTTCTCACAGGTCTGTCAAAGGAGAGAAAGAGCTTTGGGATTTTAGAGAGGAGAAGGGCAATGTGTCTACTGAGTTAAAGGAAAAAAACCTGGTTCTGAACCACCACAAAAATTAGTTGCCTTCCCCTCATCAGCAAATGGCTGAGTCATTGCTTTTCCTCCCTTGCAAGCACACAGCCGACACGCATGCGTGCTTGCTCACACTAGTGCAATGCTAGCATGTCAGCCAGGTCACATCTAGGGACTCATTTGATGCACTTTCCACTGATGAAATTTTCCTCAGTGATTGAATAATGTCATTTTGTTTGTTCCCGTCCACTAGCGCTGGTGGTTGAGGGACATTCGTCTGTGGTCAGCTCTCTCTTCTTTTTTTTCAGTGCTTCTGTTGTCCTCATCTGTCCTTTGTGAAATATGGTTGTTGTCATGCTACCCTGCCTTGGTCTACAATTAACTACTTATTAACTAACCCTTTCAGTCCCAGTCGGGTGTATTTCCCTCACAGGCTACCACTCACTTTAAACCTATTCTCACAATTTTATGCTAATCTATCCAATTGTCTCTGAAAAATATTCTTCATGTTATCTTCTATAAGGTTTCAAATGAAAGTGTAGAAATTCTTTTAATGTATGCAAATAATTACGGATGTAGTCAGTATTGGCTGGGCTTGAGGAGTCAACGGCTCCAATTTCACCCTGGCCAGAAGGAAGTGAGGGCTAGAAATGGCCATATGTGCTGTAAAGGTTAACAGCAACCTGTTACAGTCAAGTGTCTTTTCTCAGGTTGTGTGAATCAAACATTGTCTTTTTTTGATTTAGTAGCGAGCGCAGATGACGTGAAAGAATTTGACTTCAAGTTTACAGCTCCCAATAAATTCAACAGCCACCACCGTCTTTGCTCTGTATGTCCAAATCCGACTCTTACAGTGAATCTGCCAAATTAGGTCCAACAGTTTTTTGTCTTCTTAAATTATTTTATTGACAACCGTAAGAATGCAGTTGGTGGTACTTCTTCAGGTGTCTGATCTGTGTGTGTGTGTGTGTGTAGTTTGTTTGTTAGTGTGTTTGTGTGTGTGTGTGTAGTTTGTGTGTGTGTGTTTGTCTGTGTGTGTGTGTGTGTGTGTGTGTGTGTGTGTGTGTGTCAGTGACACCTGCTTGACTGGAAAAAAAATGTGCACATCGTTTTGATAGCCACTCCCTTCTCAGTCGCCTCTTGGACACCTGGTAAGCCTCATCACTTTTCATTTTGCTCTCATCAAACTTTTATGCTCAGATATTCGGAGATGTACACGTATGTCTTGGATATTTTTGTTCTGGTTTTTTTCCCCCATTTTCATTTTGAAAAGATTGTCACCATCTGTCCTTCCTTTCCGCACCATCCTCTCCCTTCTTGCACACTGTGGAAGAGAAGAGTCTCTTTGAATTACTAATCAAATTCTTGCACTTACAAAAATTAATGTACATACTGTCATACATTTAAAAAGAGAGATTTCTGTTTTTCTTGATAATACACTTTTCATGAAATTATCTTCCAATGAGCAAAGTTATGAACTCGCGGTTATTATTTTCCTGGCACGTTTTAATAAATTATTTTTCAATATGTGAGGTTTTTTGTACTGGTTGTTATCATATTCCTAGCACTTTTCTAGAAATTATCTTTCAGTATGTGAGGTTTTTGTACCTGTGATTATTATATTCCTGCACTGGGCCCCAGATTTGATCCCATTAGCTGCATTTGTGGTGACGGGAAAGCTGTGAGATTGGTTTGGCCTCTTGTGCTGAGAATGAGTGAGAAGTACATGTATTGTATGCCCCGTACTCGTCCTTACATGAGAGTGAATCGCTTTCAGGCTTGTCAGCTGTCCCGAATTTCCCGGGATTATTCCGGATTCAGCAGTTTGGAAATGTGAGAGGTCATTTAAAACACTGCACCAAAACCAGTTCTGCTTTGTTTAATTTTTGTTCGTTGTTGCATAATGTGACGTCATTGTAATGTGACAGTCATGTCATTGAATATCTCTGACTTGGTTTTGGAAAAGTTGGCAAGGCTGTGCTATGTAATGTCTTTGGTATCTGATGGATTAACTCCCCTTTCAAGCTGGTGGTTGGAGGACACCACTGGTGGTTCCTACTTTTTTCTTTCTCCCTCTGTTGTTTGCATCTGTCTGTCTTTCTTTTTCCACCCTCTAAATGACCGTTAGGATGTGCGTCTACTCACTCAAACTAAATTCAAAAACCCATTTCAACACTACGGAATCATTAAAGATTTATTTTTTTAAATCCATGTCTCTTTACTAAGACTTATCAAAGTGGGTGGAGGATGTCAAAACTTTAGACCTCCTAGCTCTAGTTGATTTATGCCCCTATGGAACTTCAAACCGAGGTCACATGTTGACCTCGGTGTCTGTGGTGTAGCGGTGAAGGGCCCAACCGCTACCTGCAAAAGACCCGAGAGATTAATTTCCGGGTGGGGAGAATTTTTGTTGAGAGTCTCGGTCTTTCTGCTGGGAATTTGTACCCTTCTCAGTCTGGGTTGATCCTGACAGGCTTGAAGCTTGCCTCCTAAATGGTCTAGATTGTGTCGATAGAGGCATTAAAACACAAAACACTTACATTTTAAAAAATGTGTTTAGAAGAATTTAACAATTACACAGAAATATTATTATGATTACAGCTAATATTTGCTGCTTCGATAGTTTTTGTGGTTTTAGTTTCATAGTTATGTCCGCAGTGGATTCTATCGAAGTACATGTTGTCTTGCATATACTATGGTTTGTGTAAAGCCCTATTCCATGTGTGAAAAAACATTTTTCGTTTCTGCCAGGTGACTCCTGAAATCTGTCTGGTGGGATCTAACTCATAAATATGTGGCACATTTGAGATTTCTTTTACCATCCTCCTTCACCTTTCTCTTTTGTTTTGTTTTTTGAAGAATGCAAGGTTATAGCCATACCTGTTTGTAGGATGTTCTGCAAGGTTATATCTGTGCCTGTTACTTGGATGCTAATGAGATGAATCGATTTTAATTTTTGTCCTTGCAAAGACATAATTATGTATAGAGTTTAACCAAAAAGGTTTTTTTTAAAGCATTTTTCAGAGCATGAGGGAGAATCTTATATTGAAATATTTTTAGAATGAAAAGCATGTAGATTTTGTTGATTTACCCAGGGATTTGAAAATCATATGTACTGAGGTTGCTGTGAGAACAATATGTAGTTTGTAGTTTTGCACATTTTTTTGTCTTTTCATTTTTGCTCCCTTCATAACATATTTCCTTTTTTGACAGATCGTACTTTGTTTATCAAAATACTATCTTGTAAACACTTGTGATATAAAGCTGAGTATAGTTATGACCAAAGAGTACTCCTAGTCTTGCGGTAAAGTTGAAGGTTTCTCCACTGTGTTGCCTCTCACACATTGCTACTTGGAATAAACTGTAGCATTGAATTTTTAACTCCTTAACTTATACAAAGTATAAGACATTCAAAATTTGAAATTACTGATTTTGAGAGCTGAAAACATATGACTTCTACAACCTTTTTTTTTTACAAAGGTAGAAGTGATGTTTATTCAGTATATGTCCTAAAAGTTTCATGGTGTACATGTATAGCCATGGTGTAGATCCAGGTCTGTGTGCAGTTAGAACAGATAAAACTGTCACGTCATGTGCCGGTCCCAGGAGCAACAAAGGCAGCTGTTTAATAGAAATTGCCAAACTCTCATGACAGCATGTGATGTTTTATTTACAGTAAAAGGCTATAAACGGTTTCAATACAATAGATAAGCTTAAAGCAGATTATGTACCTTTGCTTGAGATGTGACTTGTCCAAATTTGTGTTTTTCTTCCTGTCTAAAGTAGTATTTTATTAAGGCGGAGCACATCAGTTATATGTGTTTTTCTGTTGTTGCTTTATTGACGCAAGCCAGAAATTTGAGAAGATCTAATACAAGCTTTTGTTTTGTATCAATTTGTAGTTGAAAGACATATTCTCAGAAACACCCATTCTGTAGGAGATGAAAAGAGCAAATTCATGAGGTAGAAGCTAATCATAAAGTTAGTAAAAATCATTTGGAGATATTCATTGCTTGAATATATTTACAAACAGTAAACATAAATTGTACCTTCAAGAAAATCACAAAATATATAATTTATCCTTTCCTTTTTTTATGCTTTCATTCTCCACCTTTCTTTGAAACATCAGAATAGTTTTCTTGACTCATTATTATGCCTTCCCCCCACCCCCCCCAAACTTTCCCCCTCCTCCATGTGAGTGCATGCCTAATACATATTCCCACCCTTAACTAGTATTGCACTTTGCCCCTCCTCACCCCTCCAGTGCAGTCCATGAACGCTGCCTTTGGAGCCCTGGCGTCTTTCACTTGGCTGGCCAAGTATCGACTCTCTCGGCAAAAGCAGCAGCAACAACAACAACAGCAACAGGCTCCGCCGGCAAGCGAGAATCCGTTTGCTGCGGACACGTTTGACCCTATGAAACACATGAACTTGTCTGACACCGGGGCTCATGTCTTGGCTACAGGTAAGATAAGGGAGCCGAGCAGCCGTGTCTGAGAGTCTTTGAGGGATGAGCTCATTAGCAGATTTTAATACTTCTCTAGCTGTAAGACAGGCTTTTTTTCCTTTTCAGTAAGCGTCATATTTTTTACAAATTTCTTAAATTGGGACTCACTCACAAAAGTTTTATCGTATAAAAAAGCAGATTGATTGGAGTTTGTGATAAAAATAGCTGCTGGGCAGATTTAATGTCTGTCTGTTTTACAGTTCTTCACTTTTCTCCCCATACTCCCCCACTTATCCCCCTCCCTGTTTCTATGCACCTGTTCCCATTCTTTCATTTTTCGTCTCCCATACACAGGGCAAGCCTTGATATATTACTGGCTAAGGAATGCTGTTAGTCTGATATATTAAACTGTCTAGCGAGCACATTCCGAAGTCAGTGGGACATGGAAACCTTATTGTTATTTACAAATTTTGTGATGTATGTGTTTTGGATATAAAGATTTATTTGAGGGAAAAAAAATTTCAAGATCTGAAAACTGTTCCCTATGTACAGGATAGACTATGAAACTGCTGTTGAAAAGAAAAAGTCAGCCAGTTGAAAAATTTTTTTTCTTAATGCCAATTTTCAGAAAGATTTTCTTATTTTACTATATTTAACGCTAAAATTATTGGTTATGTGGACTTTTGTCGGAGGAAGGGATTAGTGATGTTGTTAAATATTGTAAATCTTAAAATGCAAGAGAAGCAAGATATAATTAAGGATAACTTTCGCCTGAGGCTGGAGCCAAATATTGTTCCTGATTCTAGTGAACATGTTTTACTACTTGTTCATAATGTTGAAAAAAGCTAAAGAGTGCTGCCAAATCAGTCGTTTTGTTCTTCTGCCTGGCATTTTACAGAACTCTTTATAAATCTTTACCGTTGTAGTAAAATTATATCATTTCACCATATTTTGTTAGAACATGTTCAAGAACAGGCAAACCAAGCAACCTATACATTTTCGGAAAATAGAATATTAATACAAAGTAGAGTTCATTTATGAAGGAGTTCAAATATGTGGCGATATGCAAAACGACATAAACAAACAGAAATAGCAACTCAAATAATGGCCAATTATATCAGCTGTGACAACACATAATAAAACTTATGGCTGATTTAATCAGCTGTTGAGAATAGAAAGGTTAAAGCAAAAATGTGTTCTGTGCTTCACTGCTCTTAAAGATCAAATGAAGTATTTATGTTCTTGTGACCTCACATGTTGTGTCTCAGGGAACAACAAGCTTGTATCATACGCTGGAATGTTGATCGTTGTCATTGACAAATTCACAGCATGCTCTTGTACTGCCAGATGACAGTTTTGATGAGCTGTTCTGCATTAGCATGTGCCCGCTAGTTTTGTTTGCTGGTTAGCTTATTTTTAAATTTTGGATGTTGTGAACTTTTCGTTGTCTTTAATTCTGAATATGCTGCAATTGTTATCTTAATGTGTTTGAACATGGCTCAAAATGGGTCCTAGGTCAATCATTGAATAGAGATAAGTCTGATAGTCTGTTAATTTTGTTTGTTTGTTAGCTTGTCTTCAATTTTGGATGTTGTGAACTTTTCTTTGTCTCTTTGTGCATATTTTCAAAATGTTTAGACTAGGCGTTGGTCTCAGGTCTATCATTGAATAGAGGAAGGTGTGAAATGGTATCAATGTCGCAACTAGCTCTTCATCTAATGTCTTACGAACAAAGTTCAATTATTCCCCTCTGAACACAGAATATAAAACTTTAGAAGACTGGAAGCTGTTGAAATGTGTTTAAGGAGAATACTCATACTCTCTTGGACAGAGAGGAAAACAGACCGAGAAGTGCTCCAGATCGCAGGTTGTGAAAAATCTATAATCGGGACCCTCAGAGAGAGACAATTTTGGTTCTTTGGCCTCATAAATAGATCAAATGGACAGGGGAATTTGCTGGAGGGAAAGAAGAGCAGAGGAAGATAAAGAACAAACTACACAGATGGCCTGAATCAACAAATAGCACAATGAGAAACACCGAGCTGATAAGACATACAAGAGGAAGAAGTGTGGTACCATGATCATCAAATGCCTGCTCTGGACCTGAAACCTACAGAAGAAGAATATAGTTGCAATCTTATTTTAGAGTTGCTTAGTTTATAGTGCAGACTTTCAACAAGCTTAGCTAGGGATGACGTGCAAACCATCACAGTGACATTTTTTCACAAGGCAGTCAGTGGACTTTGTCAGATGGTTTCATTTCTCTCTCCCAATTAAAAAAGTTAACTTCTGTTGAATCCTGTTAGCGGATGGTTGGTAGGTGCTCTGGTATAGTTTACTCTTTTCCTGTCCAAAATTTATTGTCCTTATCTCTCCTTTTCTGTGTATGTTACTCTCTATTAACACCTCTATCTCCAGCATTTATATGACCCATTTGCTTTGCAAGTACTGTAAAGCTCTTACTGAAATGAAAACTTATATGATTATTCCTGGTTGTTCGGTTATTGTTTGAGTATATTATACTCCTTTGTTTTTCTGTGCATTCCACCAGTTAAAATTGGAGTGTTTCGTTAGCTCAGGTGGTATCATGCTGGACTAAGGAATTGATGGCGAGTAGTCGTTCTTGAACTTGAGTTGTTTTGTGGCGTTTTCAAAGATTGCTATCCATTTAGCTCAGTTTTGTCGGAGACGGACATTAAATTCAGAGGTCCCACCTCTTTAATAACCTAGCTGTGTTGATAGTAGTGTTAAACCTCATACACTTGTTTCCGTTACTAAAGTTAAAGTTGTGTCAAATGTTTCTCTTGCCAGATGTTGCGTCCAGTAGCCAAAGTACTTGGTACCAGGATGATATGGCGGCTCTTTCCTTGTCTGACACCACGGCCCAGAAATCATCCACCCTGGGTTCTAAGAACAGAAGTCAAAGTCGGGACTCCTTGGACAAAATAGTCAACTCGTGAGTAGGGATTTTATTCAATTCAAATACAGTCGAAATTTGCCAAGGCGGCCGCCCATTGTTGAGGAGAAAAATGGTTATCTTAGACAGGTGGACGTTGTGCGCAGTGCCATTATAATATTGAAAAAACATAAGCGAGAAAGTGGAAAGTGGGTGTTCTAAGAAAAGAAGTCAAGGTCAGGATTCTTTGGATAAAATGGTCAACTCATGAATAATGATTTTTTTTTTTTTGCAATTGAAATACACACACACACACACACACACACACACACACACACACACACACACATACACACACACACACAAAAAAAGAGGACCCACTTGAACAGCAATGTCTAGTTTATATTCAAACCAATTTTAATAAAACTTCACAGAAGTAAAATTTAACCATGGGAACGCTACATTTTTCAATTAAAAAAGAATCAATCCATTTGTTCGAAAAGATATCAAATTTTTGAAATTTCAATCAAAATTGCAAAACTTTGCAACTTCTTAAAAATTAACCATATTGTTGTATTTGAAATAGCTGCTATTTGCGCATCGAATAACAAATTAATACAATATTGATATAGCGAAATAAACTCAAGAAGGTGTTTGCTATTTTGATCTCCAGATCACGACCTCGGTGCTTTCTTGTGGTATCTCAATTTTTTAAAACAGCACTGAGGTCACGAGATGTAAACCATTTCTTTGCATACAAGCTCCAATACGCCACTAGAATTTTGAATAACCCTGTCGCATGTTTCTGGGATGATTCTTTGGACGTTTTGTTCAACATTGAGATTCAACTGTTCTATTGTTTGTGAGTTGTTTCCCGGGACTCAGTGTGTCAATAAAACCCAAATGTAATCATTGAAGGGGCTCCAGTTGGGGGAATATGGTATCCAGTCCTTTGTAAATTTTTGGCTATAAGGCGTCCCCCCAAAAAGTTTTCTTGCAACCATATCAGGGCCATTCTTGATGTATGAGTTGTGGCTCTATCCCACTGGAACCAGGCCTGTATAACGTATACATTCTCCACAAACTTCTCCAAAATTATCTTGTCATGTTTAGATATCTATCTGAAGTGACTGTTGTGGTTTTACTATCCTTGTCCTGAAACCAGGCTGGGCCGATCATGCCCCGGTAGCTGATCACTTTTAAGAAGAAAAATTTTGCGTTTTACCCAGTTTTGGTTGAAATTGTTAAAGCTCTGATATTTAACCAATACGTAGATTGATTTTCTTCATATTTGCAAACTTGACGTCCTCATGGTTGAATTCTATTTGTTCGAGTTTTTGTTGAAATCAATGTAGAGATGACAGAGTTATTGCCCTTTAAGTGGGTCCTCTTTTTCTTTTTTTTTTAGACATTCTGTATATATTTCTCAGGTCCAGGTCTGAAGACTTGACCGACTCTATGGAGGCCATCCAGGGCCAGTTGGGCATCTCGTCGGGTGCAGAGTTGCCCGTGGGTACCAAGCCCGTGTCCAGCAGAGAGAAGTTTGTCCGACAGTTCCTCTGTAACCGCGAGGACGAGTTCACTGACCTCAGAAACTTCAGGTGTGTTGAGAATATCAATGCTTACCTACTGGGTCCCTGACTATTGCATGGGTGGTTGGCAGGTGCTCTTGTGTGACTTTGCTCATTATATTCTATCAATCATCTACTGTCATTATCTCTGCTCCTTTCCTGTCAAATATCTATCGTCCTTATCTCTCCTCTCCTATCTAACATTCATCATCCTTATCTCTCCTTTCGTATCAAACATCTATCGTTCATGCCTCTTTTCCTTATTTTCTTTGTATGTTTCTCTGTAGTAACCCCTTTATTTTTCAGCACTTAATGACTAATTAGTGTTTCAAATGCTGTGAAACTTATTAAAATCTAAAACACTTAATGTGTGATGGATATTATTGCTTTCTTTTTGTGTCCTGACTATTTTGTGTGAGTTGGAGGATGCAACTACTAGGTCGTACTTATTTACTTTGTCACAGTGTGTTTGTTTTAAACAATTCATCAACTGAATGCTCACTCACTCCTTTGAGATGAAATTTCTACATTTCTCAGTTGTTATCTTTTGTTTAACTGTGAATGAGGTGAAATGATTTCTTGAGGGTCATACCTAGTTGCTGTCCCCATTTTGTGTATGTTTCATCTCAAAGGTTTCCACACTTTACGTAGGTGGTTGGCGGGTACTCTAGTGTGGTTTGCTCCTTCTTTCCTGTCAGACATCCATTGCTCTTATCTCTCCTCCTCCTTTTCGTTGTAATAACTCTGTTGTAACACTTCTAAATCTTCGGCACTTATGTGGAGGGTGCCATGGGTAGGTCCTGCTTCTTTTTTATTTTTTAAAAATTTCTGTCTATCTGCCTTGCTTCTTCAGTGCTCTCTGTGGCTGTTATTTATTTGTGTTGCAAATACCGTAAATCTCTTACAAAAACTTTTAAAATACCCAACTCTCTGCAGGGTGTTCTGTGGTACCTGGAACGTCAACGGTCAGTCCCCGGCCGAAGCTTTACACAAGTGGATGGTGGTGGACAACGAACCTCCCGACATATACGCCATTGGGTATGATCCTTGTCATGGATAGGTAGATAGATTGATAGATAGGAAGTAGGTAGATAGATGACAGATAAATAGACTGGGGATAGCTAGATAGCTAGATAGGGGATAGATAGCAGAGGGATTTGACAGGGGGATAGGTAGATAGATAGATAGGGGATAGGTAGGTAGATAGATTGGGGATAGGGATGTAGATAGATTGGGGATAAATAGATAGCAGAGGGATAGACAGGGTATAGGCAGATAGATAGATACATATCTGCGCTATGGGGTAAGCTCCATGTCATCAGCAGATACTGTTGCTAGGTTCATTTTACCGGGGTTTTGCCCCCCCCCCCCCCCCCTTAGATGTTTCCTTGACAATGATGCTGAACTTGTAGATAGATATATAGGTAGGTGGGTGGGTGGGTGGGTAGGTAGGTAGGTTTAAAGATTCAATAGAGAGGTCACAGATTGATAGCTAGATGATAAATAGATTATTATTATTCCTTATCTCTTGTTGAGATGTAGCAGTGATTATGTGGCTCTTCCTTCGTTTGTCTCAACTCAAACAATGCCTCTCTATGCTCAGTTTCCAGGAACTGGATCTACGAAAAGAAGCTTTCATCTTCAGTGATTCCCCCAAAGAAACAGAGTGGCAGACGGCTGTGAAAAGTTATCTACACCCAAAAGCCAAGTACAGGAAGGTTTGCATCTAGTCCAGTACCCTGCTCAATTCATTCTTTATGTGCGCTGCATTTCAGGCCTCTACAAACTGGCATCTGTGGTGTAGCGGTAGGCACTTCATTGTCACATGCAGGAGACCTGAGTTCAATTCCTTTATTGGGAGAATTTTATCGAGTATCTTGTGGTCTTTTTGCTACGATGCTGTATCCCTCTCAGCTCGGGTTGACCTGTCCGCCTCCTAATTGATAAAAATTGCAATGATTAGGGTGTAAAACCACCTTCATTTTTTTTCTGAAAAAGAGAGGGAAGAGGAGAATTTTGTGTTGGGCTTGACTACCTTTCTTGTTCACATAATTTAGAGTGAGTGGTAATGGTTTTAGTTTACAAACATACTTATAGTTCTTGGTATTTAACCATTCACCCACTGCTCTGTAATTACTGTTGTATTTATTGTGCAGTCTTAAACGGATACATCATTTTAAAAATAGTTTTGAAAAGTTGGCCACTACGCACTTTTTAAAACTAGATTCCAACTGTCTCCCCCAGGTGAAGTCAATCCGTCTGGTGGGTGTCCTGCTCATTGTGTACATCCAAGAGAAACATGTGCCTCACATCAACTTCATCGACGCCGACAGCGTTCCCACGGGAATCATGGGATTTGTGGTAAGTTTTCACCTCGTTATTTTTTATAGTAGAGTAATATGATGGTAATATAGGGTCATCATGAGGAAATTAGATTTTCTCCAAATCAGTATTTTTACACCCGTTTGGCAATTTTAAAAAAAAATAATTTTTAAACCCCACTTTTTGCATAGAAACTTTCTCCCTCATTCAGAACAGACATTTTAGTGTGAATTTTACAACTGTACCGAAGAATGTTGAAGCCAAAAATATGTGAATTGATGAATGAGTACAAGTGTTCAGCTTTAAAAGTCACCAGATTTTGGTCACCTTTTTCTCATCAACAGCGCTACATAGATGTAATTTTTATCATTCTTCTTCCAGGGTAACAAGGGCGGTGTGTCGGTGCGGTTCACTCTCCACTCCACCTCCCTGTGTTTTGTCAACTCCCATCTCGCTGCTCACCAGGAGGAGTACGAGCGCAGGAACCAGGTCAGTGGGCTCAACCACCTCAGAACCATAGCACCTGCTTAGTGTTAAGACTCCATTATACGTAAAGTTTTAAATGGCGTGGGGCGAAGTTGTACACTAAGCAGTTATGTTTTTTAAAAATATAATTTTATAAAAAAATATAGGTGTTTTTACGCCCCCATTGACACAATTTAGATCATTAAGAAGGCGGGTTTCTGTTCCTGCCTGTCATCCCAGTATAAACACAAAGATACTTGATAAAAATTTCTCTCCACTTGGGAATTGAACTCTGGTCACTTGCATGTGACATTGAAGCACCTTACAGCTACACCACAGTTGAACCATAGTAATAATGATAGTGGTGATAATTTTATTGACAATAATAAAGATCACTTTTATAGTGCCCAGGCCTTGACGGGTCATTTCAAAGAATTTGCCAGTGAAATTCCACAATGACGTGTTTAATACATACTGCAGAGATGCCAACCAGTATGATTTTACGTATATTAGTACGATTTTTTGCCGAAAATACGCGAATACGACTTTTCATGAAAAAATACGCATCCTGGAATACGAAAAATCCGAGATTCAGCTTGGGCGAGTAATCCTAATTATCTGAAGTCCCCTCTTTTGTCAAAATAGTATCAGTATCGCAAAACTGGAATATTTGAAAATCAAGTCCGATGTGGTCAGTAAGTTCATTTTTTCCGGTCGCGATCGTGATATTATATTATTCGTTCAGCGTTTTCCCATCCGGAGAGTACGTTTCACTTTCACGCGAATAGGCAGCTATGGCGGCAGGCGGAAGCGTATGTGACACCGAGGCTCGATCAGGAAAATCAAGATCTACTTTCGCTTTCGTAAACTTGTAACATGCAGGTTGTGCAGTTTAAACGCAATGTCGCTGTGCAAATAAAATGTAATAAATACTCGGACTCGTCGCTGTGCTGTCACTTGTGGAAAAAAAAAAGAAAAGAAAATACCGTCATCCGATTTTTAGATTGTCTGGCTCGCCATCGTGACTGGTCACTGAACCTGCGCGCATTCGCATCATAAATAAATGCTTCATCGTGTGAGTAAAGACCGTCTTTGGTGAGAGTAACGGCGTTGCGAAGTATAGGACTACGGAATAGGTTAGGAGATTATTGATTTTTTGGGGGTTTAAAAGATACTATGGGAGGGGGGGGGGGGGGGGGGTAAGGCAACACCAGAGGACGAAAACTTGGAAGCACATTTCAGAATTTTGATTAGAGCTTTCTGCAAAGCGCGCGTTGGTGCAGGCCGTGTGCGGAATCGGGACCCCTCATACTTTGCAAGTCTGTGTTATTGAAATAAAGTTTTCGCGTTTCATTTGGATGGGTGATAGTAAATTATACCTACAGTGTGTGTTGTAGCTTTCTGTTCAAGACTGGCAGATTTTCAGTGTCACTGCATCTTGCCCTACCACAGTTGTTACAACTCTTCACAGTTATTGCTTTTCTCTGAGTTTGAGCAATAATTTGAGTCTGTCAGTTCATGACATGAATCATGACACCCAGACTGGTTCTTGATAGTAGAAATTCTTGTTCTAGGCCCTTCCGAACTCTCAAAGCAGGATTTTTTTTAAATATAATGATGAGAGGAAAATATTATATAATAGACTGAAATACAACAAGACCCCAGTACGACATTGAACACTGACATGTTGTTGACTGGATACGTGTATATTGTACGCATGTGTGCTCCCTTTGTCGAGCTGGTGAGCTAGTAATTTTTTTTTCAGGAAATATTGCTGGACACCCTGAACATTTTACTAGTTGTCGGTCGGTCGGTCGTGGGGAATACACTTTTCCTCTGAAAATACACATTTTCATATTTCCCAATACTCATTTCGGTTTTCTGTGGTTGGCATCTCTGCATACTGGCCCATTCAACGTACAGCAATCCTTTCAAGTAGCCTTTCTTAACATCGCTTTCAAGAAGCATTTTTCTTCTTGGATGATAGTATTTGTTGACTCTGTTTAGGTTGAGCTTTCTTTGTTATTTTGACCAGTTCCCACATGCGATGTCTTTCTGTGGCTGTTGATGAGATTGTGTTTTCTTTCCTTTTTTCCCCCCCCTTGTGTTGTGAAGGATTACAGAGACATCGAGACGAAGACCAAATTCAAGCAGTTCGAGCCCCCACTAGAACTTTCTGAACATGAGTAAGTAAAGCTCATATTGTTCACATTAAAATTTGTGAAATAGTAACTGAGGCTTGGCGGTGTAAACTTTTGTGCTCTCAATTTTAAAATTTCTTCTTAAAGAGAGGCCATTTGTGGGTGGTTGGCGCATACTCTGGTGTGGTCTACTCCTCCTTTCCTATCGAACATCTGTCGTCCTTATCTATCCTCCTTCTTTTCTTTGTATATTACTCTCCTACAATTTGTGCTGCAAGTGCCGTAAAACCTTTACTAATAGTAAAACTAAAGGCCATGTGCTAAAAAAAATAGAGTCTGTCTTGTCAAAGGTGTGCTGAGTCAAATTTTAACTCTTTATCTCTGAGGGGGGGTAAACCCACTATGCAGGGGTCCTCTTTTTGGTACGAAATTGAAAAGTGACACATAAATCCCAAAATTGATAATTAAATGAACAAGTGAACCTATTTTGATAGTTCTTCATCTAATGAAAGAGCTCCCGGTTAAAGAGTAAAGTAATTTGACCTTAAAGTCGTCGGAATTTGCCCGAGCAGCTGCCAGCAAGATATTTATGATTAAAGCAGATGGGATCACCTGGTTACAGAGGTAAAATCAGCGAGAAAATGGCCGCCATACTTTCGTGACCTCTAAAGTTTTAAAGTCTTTGGGAACAGCAAATTCACATTTTGTGTGCCTTAAACCAATGTTTTCCAGTAAAATTCTCTCCGAAATATGTTTTTAAATGGGCTCAAAAGAGGTTTAAGCAAAATATGAAAAATCAGTAAAAATTACCAAACGAACGGGAAAAAGCCTGTTTCTTTGATTTCATTATTTTGACGAGCACTTGATTTCACTACAATGACTAACATATTATTATTATTATGATTATTTTTGTTCTCTCTTTTCAGTGTGGTCTTCTGGATTGGAGACCTCAACTACAGGATAGACATGTGTATAGACGACGTTAAGTCCCGCATCCAAAAGCAAAAGTATAAGCAGTTGTTGGAAGGAGATCAGGTTTGTGGAGAAGAAAAGATACAGACCCCACCCCCAACTGGTCTTTTAAAAAATTGTTGATTGTCATGAATATTTTTTGTAATTGTATCATGTTAAAAGGTGGATAATAGAATGAACTGTTAATGAGCTGCAGCTTGAATTCATCTTCTGCACCCAACCAAAATGTTCAGTGCTTAGTTTCCATGACTATATCGCCTTCTGTTTTCCAATTATTGACCGTAACTGTGGTGTTTCTCCTCCCCAGCTGTACCGACAAATGAAGGCAAACAGTGATGTGTTTAAAGGTTACGAAGAAGGTTTGCCTCTCTTTGACCCCACATATAAATTTGACGCTGGCTCCGATGTTTATGACACTAGGTATGAATTCTGTGTTTTCTCCATAATGTAATGATGGTGTCAGTTGTGCCTTTTATACTTCGTGTTATGCTGTTTTAGTTCATAATATATGAACATAGCTGTCAATCAGTACATATAAAAACGTATTCGATACATTTTTGAGGGTCTTGAGTGTGGAAGTCCATTTTTGTGTCAGAAAATGTGTATTCTCGGTTTGTAGTATAGACTTCTAGTATGAAATTGCTGATGCTGAAGAAAAAGTATAAACTTTCAAAGCAAGTTTTGCAAATAACAAGGAGAACAAAGCTGATAGGTTAGTTGTGGTTTTGTCAGTTACCATAGTTAAATATTGAGCATGAGTCTATAAAATGCAGAAAAATGTGGGTTCGCAGTGAAGCCACTTGGCCAATGCCCACCATCTTGACCACTGCACCGGTAAAGTCTGGGTTTTTTAAATTTTTGAAAAGGCTGCTGCTCTGTTATTATAAATCTTTCTTTGTCATCAGTGAGAAGAGCCGAGTGCCAGCCTGGTGTGACCGCATCCTGTGGCGAGGGCCTGGTGTGCAACAGCTGCGCTACGACTCACATCCTCAGCTCAAGGTGTCGGACCACAAGCCTGTCAGTTCCTTGTTTAATGTTGGGGTGAGTACTTATACAAATGAGCCGAAAATAGATATAGAAACCAGAAAGAGAAAATGGAAGTGGAATGTAAACACCTGGAGAACATAAAAGACAGACATTATTCACCTAGCATTAGCCCTCCGAGTGTCCAGGGCTGATAAAATTGTCTGTAAGATTTGTTCTGTTGTGTTACAGCTGATGTAATCTGCCGCAATTTGAGTCTTAATTTCGAGTCAGTTTATCCCAATTTCTTTCTGCCAGACATTATAACTCCCTATGAACTTTACTTCCTGTTTACATTTTACTTTTTGAAAATGAGTTAGTTTATAGCCTTTACGTACTTGGTTTGCCTGTTTACAAGCATTTTCTAATATATATGGTGAGATCATGTGATTTCCTATGACACTACAGGTTATAATTTGTTAGCAACACTTTGAGGGTTAAAATGGAATCCACAATGAAAGAGAAAGAAATTAAGGAAGGTAGGTCTGAAATCACTTGTAGTAGGGTCTTGGATTGAGATGGGATACAGCTGGACAAAGGAGAAGACTATAGCCCAAATGATGACGACAGTGGTGGTGAGTGGGATGATAGTGCTGGTGTTTGTGGAGATGATGATGTGGATGATGAGGATGATGAGTCTTTATAGGTTTTTTCCTCATAGATCACCAATGTGTTGCTGGGGGG